CTCTTGGAAGGAAGTTGCTTGAGATTGAGTTTTCTCTTCTTTCCAGGTCAAATAGTGAAGCCATTACCACTGACCTGCCCTGACTTCCAAGATCCCTTTTCCTTGACTGAGAAGCCTCCAGCTGAGTTTTGTCTGTCCCCAGATGGCAACTCAGAGGCCATTTCCATTGACCTGCTTCAGAAAAAAGGTGAATATGACCCCCAGGTCAAGCCAGGAATTCTGTTGTCAGTACCTTTTTGTGCCTATTGCCCTACTGTCTAGTCCTCCAGAATATTTCCCTATTTAGATAGGGAAAGTGCTAGAAAGGAATCAGCACAGGAACTGGGACAAGAGGCAGAAGTCTGTGCATTGTGTAAGGCGAGTGTGCATGAGTGCACAAGGATCATTTATCAGATGCTTAAGAATCAGGCTTCGGTCTCTTACCTCAGGGAGCTAAGGAGAGTGAGGGAGATCGCTGTGTCATAAATGGCCATGAGCTCTAATGGGAGTATAAGTACTACAGGGCCTAACAGCTTGGGTAGGCATGATGGTAACATCTACTAAGATACTCAGCAAATAAGGGACCACTGGACTAAGAGAGAGCTGTTTCAGTGAGATGATGGGGAAAGAAATGAGCATAATTGTGGGCTGAAGGGAAGCCTGTGGGAAGGGAGAAGGATGAAGCTTAAGTCCCCTGTAGAGGCAGAGTGGGGAGTTCAAAGCTGGGAAAAGGGAAGAACCTTGAGCAAGATAGAGATTGAGGGGGGCAGGAAGGAAGATAGACAGAACGTAGTTATGTCTTTTGAATGGACCGTGAAGTTGAATTGATGACCAGTGGCCTCTATTCTCTTGGTAAAGTCAAACCAAGAGGTTGAGAAGAGGGTAAAAACTTGGCAATGTGAGAGCATAGCAGACACACCAAAAGGCAGTGTGTCAAAGAGGTGCCCTTGTCGGTCACTCTTGTGAGTGGCCCTGGACTTTCTCCAACAGCCACTAGCCTGGTTTCTCATAGCGAAGAAGATGGATAGTTAGTTTGATCCAGGACTGGAGTAAGAGGGTCTTGAAGATGCAATCACTGGGATGGGCCCACTGGCAGTGAAAACAGTACAAGGCTTGAGAACTGGGCAAAAACAGGAAGGGGCCGGGGCCTGGTCCTCAGTAAGACTGAGACCCATGTGCAGGGACAGAGAGAGAGAGTGGATGCCCCTCTCTCTCTCTACTGAGGGCTCAGTTTCAGCTGAGTTGCCGAGGGACTTGCTTAGGAACCCGTAACATGGAGGTCTCACTTGCAGGGCTGGTGAAGGCGGTTAACACTGCCGTGGACCTCATCGTGGCCCATTTTGGCACAAGCCGGGATCCTGGGGTGAAGGTAGGCAAAAAACTGGCAAGCTGAGCTCTACCCTGCTGACCTTCACCCATTCTATGCTGCCACCTTCTGCTCTCCTGCACCTAGAAACCAGAATCGGGTACTTTGGGCTGGGGAGCACAAGAGAAGCACGCTGAGGCCTAAGAGAGTCAGAGAAGACCAAGGTCGGGCTTCATACGATTCCCTCTTCTTCTCTACTACATCCACAGGCAAAGCTGGGGAACAGTTCTGTGAGCCCCAATGTGGGCCACCTGGTTCTGAAGTACTTGTGCCCTGCAGTCCAGGCTGTGCTGGAGGATGGGCTCAAGGCCTTCGTGCTAGATGTCATCATTGGGCAACGCAAGAACATGCCGTGGAGTGTGGTTGAGGCTTCCACACAGCTAGGTAAGTGCTGGGTGGCAAGATGACCCCAGGTGAAGATTCAGATTCAGGAGACTGGGCATGTGACTGCTAACTCTGGCTTCCCCTCAGGCCCGTCCACCAAGGTCCTACATGGCCTCTACAACAAGGTCAGCCAGTTCCCAGAACTCACCAGTCACACCATGCGTTTCAACGCCTTCATTCTCGGCCTGCTGAAGTGAGTGTGGGGCAGCAAGAGCGGCAAACCACAGCCGTCACCCCTGGGCTCTGCCGCGTCTGTGGAACCAACTCCCTAGACTGAGAGAGGCAAGGGAATTTGCAGGCTCTGTGGCCAGGGCCCAGGCTCACTTTCTCCCCATCTAGCTTCAGCCTCTCTCAGTGTGTCCCTGGTTTCCCACCATACCCATAGCCCTCTGGCATTGCTCACCAACATGGTCTTTTGCTTTTATAAATTCATAATCTGGCTTATTTGGAAATTAATGTGGTTCTCTGGATATTGTAAACCTTGATCCACCCATTTCCAGCACTACTTCCAAATCCTGCCTGACCATAAGATCCCCTTGAGATCCACATTACAGTATCCTTGCTTCTCAAGTATGAGCCCAGGTCATCCCCTTTGGGATGTGTACCCTGTACTCTCAGTAGCTGCCCTGACTTCTGGGGCCCTAGGCAAGCCACATCCATTCTAGAGGGATGTCATTGACTTGTGAATCACATGTTCACCCCCCCTCCCAACATCCCCCACTGACTTTCCAGAACTATTTTACATGAAATGAACTAGGTAACATTCCTGCCATAGAAGGGAGGTGTTCACCTATGCCTCTGCCCTATGTTTGACCCCCTGTCTGTCTCCTTTGTACCTTATCATCTGGCTGTCTTCACAAAGATTCAACTCTGCCTATTTTCCTACAGCATCCGGTCCCTGGAGTTCTGGTTTAATCACCTCTATAACCATGAAGGTAATGCCCGGAACACTACTCTCTCTTGCAAACTCAATATAGGCCAGATCTCAGAGGCTCAGAAGAGGGAGACATGGCTCTTTACAGATGATGGAGGTGGGGAGGGAGACCACCCAAGCGATCATCTTCAGAGCCTGGACTTCCAGCCCAGTCTCTCCCCAGCTTCTACTTGTGTTAGAGCCTTGGAGTCAGCAGGATACTCAGAAAATCTGGAGGTCAGGGTAGCCAGGAACCCCCACACCTCTCCTGTGAACTTGAGGCCGCCACTTAGGGTTGTAGAGGTCACGACCTGCACCAACTTCAGATGGCCTCTTTTGCGCTGGTGTCCACCAAAGCCACAGTGCCTAGCCTGTGCAGCAGTATGCAGCAGCTCTGCCAGGGCCGCTTCTTGGAGGCACCACCCCGCCAGGCCAGGCTCTCCTTCTCTGTGGGGCTCAGGCTCTCTCTTGCTCCCCTAGATATCATCCAGACCCACTACCAACCATGGGGCTTCCTGAGTGCAGCGCATACCGTGTGCCCCGGCCTCTTCGAGGAACTGCTGCTGCTACTGCAGCCCCTGGCCCTGCTGCCCTTCAGCCTCGACTTGCTATTCCAGCACCGGCTCCTGCAAAGTGGGCAGCAGCAGCGGCAACACAAGGAGCTGCTGCGGGTGTCCCAGGATCTGCTGCTGTCCGCGCACTCGACATTGCAGTTGGCCCGGGCCAGGGGCCAGGAGGGGCCTGGAGACATGGACAGGGCAGTCCATGGGGAGCGGGTGAAGGGTGTGGGTGCCCCTGAAGGTGGAGAAGATGAGGAGGAAGAGGAGACAGAAGAGGTGGCAGAGGCAGCTGGGGGCTCAGGGCGTGGCAGGTGGGCCCGAGGCGGGCAGGCTGGCTGGTGGTACCAGCTCATGCAGAGTTCCCAGGTCTACATAGATGGCTCAGCTGAGGGCTCTAGGTTCCCCCGTGGTGGCAGCAATAACAGCAGTGAGAAAAAGAAAGGGGCCGGAGGCGGAGGACCACCCCCCCGAGAGGGAGTAGTTGAGGGGGCAGAGGCCTGCCCTGCTCCTGAGGAGACCCTTGGCCGGGACAGGGGCTGGCCCTTCTGGATGGGAAGCCCCCCCGATTCTGTGCTGGCTGAGCTGAGGCGTAGCCGGGAGAGGGAGGGGTCCACTGTCCCCCCAGCAGAAAATGAGGAAGGAGCCTCAGAGCCTTCACCTGGGGGCATCAAGTGGGGACATCTCTTTGGCTCCCGAAAGGCTCAGCGGGAGACCCGGCCCACAAACAGGTGAGAGGCAACCCAAGGTGTAGATGGAGGAATTTGGGGAGCCTATCTAAGCCAAAGCACAGATAGAGCCAGAGCCCTGGTTGCTCTCCCCTAGGCTACCGTCTGACTGGCTGAGCCTGGACAAGTCCATGTTCCAACTAGTGGCACAGACAGTGGGTGCCCGCCGAGAGCCAGAGCCCAAGGAGAGCCTGCAGGAGCCACACTCCCCAGTCTTGCCCTCCAAGCCTCCATGGTAAGCCCTGGAAGATAGGATTGGGGGGCTGGGTTTGGCTTTGGGTGGGGTTTCTCTGACCTCCATTTGTTGTTTCCCCAGCGAGGTGAAGGCACTGTGCCATCATCTGGCTACAGGCCCTGGACAGCTGAGCTTCCACAAGGGAGATATCCTACGGGTGCTGGGGCCAGCTGGAGGAGACTGGCTGCGCTGCAGCCGTGGCCCCGACACCGGCCTGGTGCCTCTGGCCTATGTGACCTTGACCCCAACTCCAAGTCCAACCCCCGGAAGCAGCCAAAACTGAGGCCCTGTGCATGCTGGTGGCCTCAGGGACCCTCATAACCCCTGACTCAGAGCCTGAGAGCCCTTCCCAAGCCCTCTGGCTTGGCCACAGAGAGTAGACTGAGAGCTGGGGGCCATACATCCCTGTGCTCAGTATTAATTACTCCCCATTAACTGTCCCAGTGACCTCATCCAGACCTCCACCCAGGAAAGGAGGGAAGGGATGCAACACTGGGATGCCAGGATTTCCCCAGCCCATCTGGGCCAGCCCTGCCATAGGTACAGATAAGCACGTCCCTGTGGAGGGAGGTGACCAGAGGCCCATTTGCAGGGTTCCCTAGGCCAGGTAGTGAGGAGGAGAAGTGACAGTATTGGGGCCAGCTCCCTAAGTCCCCAAATGTAAATAAGCTGTGGCCAGTGCCTGGTGGTCAGAAGAGGGAGGAGGAGCCCAGGCTTCTGTTTATGTATTTATTTATTTATTTATTACACCTATTAATAAAAAAGGTGCTCGGCCTCCAAACCATTTCTCTTTGTGCCTCCCCTCACCCTCGGGCCCACTTCTCTTCCTTCCAAAAGGATGACTGGAATAGGAAGACAGAGAAGAAAGACCTTGAAGTCCAGGTACCTACACCAGGAGCTGCTTCTGGAGGGTGGTGAGGCCCAGTGCATCATGGGTGAGATGCCCATATGTGTGCCCGAACTGGAACTTATACCCTGTATGGACAAGAGAGTCACATCACTTGTAGCCAGTGGCATGGAGAGTCATTTATTTCTCAACCAGTTTCTAAGCCCTCTAAAATCCAGTCACAACTTCTCACTGTGAGCTATCTCCATTTCCTTTTTTGCCCAGTGAGAAAGCTAAAGTACATGATCCAAAGACCTTCCCCCCATATCTATTCCAACCCTCCCAAGCCACTTCCACCCATTCCACACACACACACACACACACACACACACACACACACACACACACACACACAGGGAGCCTGCTTCCTCCTGTCTCTCTGCCTGCCTCTCTGCCTGCTTGTGATCTCTCTCTGTCAAATAAATAAATAAAATCTTTAAAAAAAAAAAAAGAAGAAGAACAAAAACCAGAGATGAAGGTGTACAGTCCTGGTCTATGAGAGGCATCTCTAGACAGACTAAAATGTCAGGGAAAGACTGCTAACAGAATTTATATTTAAAACCAGTCTAGAAAGAGGATGAGGAATAGGCTTTGTAGAGACTTGTGCGAAGAATATTCTGGGTTCATACAGTTGTCTGTGTAAAACCACAAAGGTGAAGAATAACTTGATGCTTACAAAAACTGTAAGTAATTTGGTATAGCCAAATAATTTGGTAGGGTGTGGAGGGAACTATTGAAGGATTTTAATCAGGGAAGTGGCATTTTAGTTGTTTTTAATAGCTTAATGGGATGTTCTTTGCATTTTAGAAAGATCACTGGTTGTTCGGGTGAAAGGTGGATTGGAAAGGATGCCCTGGGGGTCAGGAGACCACCAAGATCAAAATCATCAGAATAATAGAGGTAGCTGAAGCTTCGAGTAGATGAGAGCCCCCAGGGAGAATGTGTGGAGTTGTAAAGGGAACAACGACAGAGAGCCCTGAGGATATAATGATTTAAGGGTGAGCAGAGCAACACTCAGATTCTGAGAAGAATTAGGAAAATCAGGGGAGAGTAAAGCCACAGGCACTAGAGGAGGTGAAAGTTTCAAAAAAAGAGTTGGGTTCAACAAAGTTTTGAAGAGAAATTGCTAACATTAAGGCTGAAGAATCCCGAAAACAACATTTGAGAGTAGTGAGGGGGGAAGCAGATCTCAGAGGGTTTGGAAGGAGAGATAAAGCAGGGAAAGGGAGATGAAGGGGCATGTGCTATGCTGTGGGCTCGGGTCAGGTCCTTTGGCTTCTCGAAGGGAGTGGGTTAAAGAACCATTAATGGTATAATCTCTGCTGTTGGGGAGATGATAGCCTGAGAAGACTTCACATTCCTAAAAAGACACCGAGGAGCTGCTTTTGGGATGGAGGATGAAAGGGGAAGCCCCAAGGAGGAGGGGTTCTGAAACAGCAGAGATTGGCCAGAGTCTCACTCCCTTCTTAGACTTCACTACCTGGTGGGTACCACTCGGCCCAGGGGATGCTGTGGCTGGCATTCTGAAGGCAAGAACAGTCCTGGTCAGAGATGGGAGAGGCATTTTAAAGTGTTGTGTGTGTTTTTTTTTTAAATTATTGGATAAGACTTTTCATATAGAGATGCTGTTCTGTAGCATAAGTCTCCAGTGACCTCCTATAGGGCTCCTCTCTCAATTCTGTTTGGTTTTTTTTAAAATTAAAGAGTGAATGACAATTCAATGAATTCATGAATGACAAAAGAAGGCTGAGATCTCTTTGACATCCTGAGCAGCAGAGTCAAGATTCAAAAAGATCTTACCAAATCTGGAAAGAACAAAACAAAAAAGCAGGGGCTAATGTGAAGTTTGATAGGTAAGCTGGACTTGACTTGTGATATTTAATTGATTGCACATTCAGAATGAGTCAGCAGTTTGGAAGGGCTTCCACACAGTTCAAATGACTGTCTTCATCGATAGACTCCAGAAGGGAGAAGCTGATAGTCCTCTACTCCTCTGAACCAGTTAGCGCTCACCTACAAGTTCTGGGTACTCCATTTTAAGAAGGAACTGAAGGACTGTGGTTGTGTCACCTACAGAACAGCAAACTTGGGTGAATGTGGTCTCTGATTTTCTCAAGGGCTGTCCCACAGAAAAGTGAGAAACCTTAGTCTCTATATTCCCTGGGGACAAAACTGAGACGCACTCCCCAGGTCAGACCCCTCCTTCTTCCCTTATCTCATTCCTCTGCCTCAAACCCTATCCTGGGGATTTGGGGAGGATTTTTTTTTTTTTTTAAAGAGTAGAAATAAACAGTCTAATTCAAACATACTTTATATAGCAGGCATAATAAAGCTACTGTTGGGAAGGCCTAATCTGAAAGCCAGGGTCAGTTCAGCCTTGAAATTTGATATTTAAATAAATGGAAAGGAAGGAGGCATTCCCAACAGGAAAGGGTGTGTACTTAAAGATGGGAATGGGGTGGGAAGAGCCATGTCTATGGCAGGTGTGTGAGTTTGAGTGGAGCAATCTAATTGGTGGCAAGTGTGGATACCTATTTGAGAAGATTAGACTTCATTCTGTGGGCAGTAGGGCCACAGGGGATAAAACTGGTATTTTATGAAGAAATCTGATTTATGTAAGATCTGGTTGCAGCAAGACTAGCCTGAACCAAGGGTGACCGTGGGGATTCATTGATTTAACAAATATTTATTCAGTACCTACTATATACTGGGCTCTAGTCTAGGCACTGGGATACATCAATGAACAACTCAAAAACCCTGCTTTTTTGGAGTCCTTATGAGGAGTAATAGATAATAAACAAATAAGATAATTTCTAATAGGGATAAAATGCTGAAAAGAAAATAGAACAGGATAATGAGACAGAGTGTGACTTCCCAGAGGGACTGGGGTGGTCACCACTGAGGTGGTGATATTTGAACTGATGCCTGAATGATGAGATGATTTCGTGTAGAACCAGCAGGTACAAAAGACCTTGAGATGTTAATTAACTTGGCATGTTTAAGGGCAGAAGGAAGTGGGCCTGGAGCATAGTAATAAGCAAGGGAGAATGACAAAGGTTGTTCTCTAAGCACAGATTGGAGATGACAGGAGGGTATATTTTGAATATATACCCTGGGAGTGATTCTAAACCCCTCCCTGTTGGGGTTGTGATCACTATCCCCTTAAGAATCAATGAAGTAAATAAATGGGAAAAAATGAGGGATACCATTTCCTGTGTAGTGCAATGTGATAAAGAGAACATTAGCACCTAAGTCAGACTCCGGCTTAGGCAGAATTCTAGCTCTGGCACTTCCTAGTTGTGTAACCTTGGACAAATGACTTAATCTCTCTAAATTTCCAATACCCTGAGCTGTCAGGTAAGGATATTAATTCCTGTCTCATAGATTTGTTGAGCCAGAGTTGTCTAGTGAGCCACACCCAGGGTTTCTGGCTTCGTGGAAGCTTGTAGCACCACCTTGTGTCAATTCAGATGTTTACATTGCGTGCAGTGTTTTATTAGAAGCACAACTCACACCCAGACAGGCTGTGCAGTATCCTGGCATTTTGTGTTTAGTTCTGAGCCCTGTGTGTTGAGAGACGCTGACCTGAAGACTGGCTGAAAGAACAGGAGAGGACCAGTGTTGGGGACCGCAGCTCTGTGTAGAGGGAGCAAATGTGGATCCTGAGGCTCCAGTGCCAGGATCATGAAAGAGTGGGAATGGGGTGGATGGAGGGGACAGGAGGCTGATTCCAGCTGCAAATGAAGAAATGTTATGGTTAGATTTGCTTAAAAATGAAATGAGCCACCTTTAGTGGAGACTGGTGATGAGCAAAAGCTTGAAGTAAATAACATCTTACCTTGAATATCTGTGATCCTTATTCCCAACTCTTTAGGCTTAGAAACAAGGAAATGGTAGTTCTGCCCTTGACAGAAATGGAAGTCATGAGGGGAAAGGTGATAGATGAACTTCTTTAAAATAGCAAAATTTTGATGGGGAGGGGGGCAGATGGAGAGTCTTTTTCTTTTTAAGATTTTATTCATTTTAGAGTGAGCGAGGCAGGGGAGGGGCAGAGAAAGAAGGAGAGAGTGAGAGAGAATCTCCAGCAGACTCCCCACTGAGAGCAGAGCCCAACATGGGGCTTGATCTCACTACCCATGAGATCATGACTCATGAGATCATGACCTGAGCCGAAACCAAGAGTCAGAGGCTTAACCAGCTGTGCCACCCAGGCACCCCAGAGGGAGAGAAAGAATCTTAAGTAGGCTCCAAGCCCAACACAGAGCCTGAGATCATAACCTGAGCCGAAATCAAGAGTGAGATGCTTAACTGACTGAGCCACCCAGACACGCTTAAAATAGTACCTTTTAAGTGAAAGCAGAATCCTCAAGCAGAATAATCCAAAGATTAAGGGGAAGGTGGGGGCTAAAGCTATGGGTTCAGGAGTCTTCTGTATGAATGTCTGAACTTGAACAATGCAGGGGAGAAAGTGTAAAGGGAGATCTAAGAATGGAGCCTTAAGATACACCCACACTTGAAGTCAAGAAAATGAAAAAGGTGTGACTAGTCAAGAGTACAGGAGAGTTCAGCATCGTAAAAACAATAGAAAAAGTTTTACAAAAGATGGGAGGAGCACTGTCACATTCCCAAACTTGGATTGCCCTTACCCCGCATTCAATTCCTACAGCCCGGGTCCTGCCCATCTCTTCCCCTCTCCCCTGTGAGCATTATCTGTCTGCTTCTTTGCTTCCTCCCCTGGGGGTCCTAGGGTCTGTCTCTCTGATTCTTCCTTCATCACTGTTGCCACAGGGGGTGGTGCGGACAGCCGACCAGTCCTTCGCTACAGCAAGGAGCAGAGGCCAACCACGCTGCCCATCCAGCCCTTCGTGTTCCAGCACCACTTCCCAAAGCAGTTGGCCAAGGCCCGTGCCCTCCATAGCCTTTCCCAGCTCTACGGCCTCTCTGGCTGCAGCCGTGCACAGCAGCCTGCCCCACTGGCTGCCCCCACTGCTCAAGTCCCAGCCTTAGCTCCCTCAGGGGAGTCACAGGCACCTGCCAACAGAGGTGCCAGGAAAGCTGGGCCTGAGCCAGAAACCTCACGCCCATCACCCCTGGGTAGCTACTCCCCCATCCGCAGTGCTGGCCCCTTTGGGCCCAGCACCGACTCTTCTGCTTCCACCTCGTGCTCCCCTCCAGAGCAGGCCACAGCCACAGAAAGCCCACCCCCATGGAGCCGCTCCTGTCCTCCTGTTGCCCGGCCTGCCACCTCCCAGCAGCCACAGAAGGAGGATCAGAAGCTACTGACCTTGGCTGAGTACCGTCTCCATGGAACAGGAAGCTTGCCTCCTCTGGGCTCCTGGAGATCTAGCCTCAGTCGAGCAGAAAGCCTAGCCCGGGGAGGTGGTGAGGGCAGCATGGCCTCCAGGCCCAATAACGGTATGAGCTTTACCCTCCACCGCAAGCATTTCTGCCCCCCCCACCCCGCCGCCGCCACCACCTCCCCTGCCACCTTTGAATGCTTTCTTATTCTCCGACCTGGGGTCAGGGGCTAACATGTTTACATCTCCTTCCCCAGCTTCTATGAATAATATCCAAGCACTCCCAGCCCTCATTTTATATGGCTACACTGGGTGGATGTGAATTGTTGTCTCCTGCTAACTCTTGCCCGTCTCTTCCGCTCATCTGTTCTGCTTTCAGCCAACCACCTATCCCCTCAAGCACTCAAGTGGCGGGAATACAGGAGGAAGAATCCACTAGGGCCACCTGGATTGTCAGGGAGCCTAGACCGAAGGCCACAGGATGCTCGGCTGGCCCGAAGGAACCCCATCTTTGAGTTCCCTGGCTCCTTCAGTGCTGCTGGCCATCTGAACTGCCGGCTGAATGGTGTGTGGGCCAGATCCCCAGGATGCCCAGGGCAGGCTCTAATGCAGCTGGACAGGGCTGGGGAAGAGGGCAGTCCCACAGGAACATGTCCCAGAGAGTATGAGGCACTGAACTGAGCTGCGACTCTTGGAAGGAAGTTGCTTGAGATTGAGTTTTCTCTTCTTTCCAGGTCAAATAGTGAAGCCATTACCACTGACCTGCCCTGACTTCCAAGATCCCTTTTCCTTGACTGAGAAGCCTCCAGCTGAGTTTTGTCTGTCCCCAGATGGCAACTCAGAGGCCATTTCCATTGACCTGCTTCAGAAAAAAGGTGAATATGACCCCCAGGTCAAGCCAGGAATTCTGTTGTCAGTACCTTTTTGTGCCTATTGCCCTACTGTCTAGTCCTCCAGAATATTTCCCTATTTAGATAGGGAAAGTGCTAGAAAGGAATCAGCACAGGAACTGGGACAAGAGGCAGAAGTCTGTGCATTGTGTAAGGCGAGTGTGCATGAGTGCACAAGGATCATTTATCAGATGCTTAAGAATCAGGCTTCGGTCTCTTACCTCAGGGAGCTAAGGAGAGTGAGGGAGATCGCTGTGTCATAAATGGCCATGAGCTCTAATGGGAGTATAAGTACTACAGGGCCTAACAGCTTGGGTAGGCATGATGGTAACATCTACTAAGATACTCAGCAAATAAGGGACCACTGGACTAAGAGAGAGCTGTTTCAGTGAGATGATGGGGAAAGAAATGAGCATAATTGTGGGCTGAAGGGAAGCCTGTGGGAAGGGAGAAGGATGAAGCTTAAGTCCCCTGTAGAGGCAGAGTGGGGAGTTCAAAGCTGGGAAAAGGGAAGAACCTTGAGCAAGATAGAGATTGAGGGGGGCAGGAAGGAAGATAGACAGAACGTAGTTATGTCTTTTGAATGGACCGTGAAGTTGAATTGATGACCAGTGGCCTCTATTCTCTTGGTAAAGTCAAACCAAGAGGTTGAGAAGAGGGTAAAAACTTGGCAATGTGAGAGCATAGCAGACACACCAAAAGGCAGTGTGTCAAAGAGGTGCCCTTGTCGGTCACTCTTGTGAGTGGCCCTGGACTTTCTCCAACAGCCACTAGCCTGGTTTCTCATAGCGAAGAAGATGGATAGTTAGTTTGATCCAGGACTGGAGTAAGAGGGTCTTGAAGATGCAATCACTGGGATGGGCCCACTGGCAGTGAAAACAGTACAAGGCTTGAGAACTGGGCAAAAACAGGAAGGGGCCGGGGCCTGGTCCTCAGTAAGACTGAGACCCATGTGCAGGGACAGAGAGAGAGAGTGGATGCCCCTCTCTCTCTCTACTGAGGGCTCAGTTTCAGCTGAGTTGCCGAGGGACTTGCTTAGGAACCCGTAACATGGAGGTCTCACTTGCAGGGCTGGTGAAGGCGGTTAACACTGCCGTGGACCTCATCGTGGCCCATTTTGGCACAAGCCGGGATCCTGGGGTGAAGGTAGGCAAAAAACTGGCAAGCTGAGCTCTACCCTGCTGACCTTCACCCATTCTATGCTGCCACCTTCTGCTCTCCTGCACCTAGAAACCAGAATCGGGTACTTTGGGCTGGGGAGCACAAGAGAAGCACGCTGAGGCCTAAGAGAGTCAGAGAAGACCAAGGTCGGGCTTCATACGATTCCCTCTTCTTCTCTACTACATCCACAGGCAAAGCTGGGGAACAGTTCTGTGAGCCCCAATGTGGGCCACCTGGTTCTGAAGTACTTGTGCCCTGCAGTCCAGGCTGTGCTGGAGGATGGGCTCAAGGCCTTCGTGCTAGATGTCATCATTGGGCAACGCAAGAACATGCCGTGGAGTGTGGTTGAGGCTTCCACACAGCTAGGTAAGTGCTGGGTGGCAAGATGACCCCAGGTGAAGATTCAGATTCAGGAGACTGGGCATGTGACTGCTAACTCTGGCTTCCCCTCAGGCCCGTCCACCAAGGTCCTACATGGCCTCTACAACAAGGTCAGCCAGTTCCCAGAACTCACCAGTCACACCATGCGTTTCAACGCCTTCATTCTCGGCCTGCTGAAGTGAGTGTGGGGCAGCAAGAGCGGCAAACCACAGCCGTCACCCCTGGGCTCTGCCGCGTCTGTGGAACCAACTCCCTAGACTGAGAGAGGCAAGGGAATTTGCAGGCTCTGTGGCCAGGGCCCAGGCTCACTTTCTCCCCATCTAGCTTCAGCCTCTCTCAGTGTGTCCCTGGTTTCCCACCATACCCATAGCCCTCTGGCATTGCTCACCAACATGGTCTTTTGCTTTTATAAATTCATAATCTGGCTTATTTGGAAATTAATGTGGTTCTCTGGATATTGTAAACCTTGATCCACCCATTTCCAGCACTACTTCCAAATCCTGCCTGACCATAAGATCCCCTTGAGATCCACATTACAGTATCCTTGCTTCTCAAGTATGAGCCCAGGTCATCCCCTTTGGGATGTGTACCCTGTACTCTCAGTAGCTGCCCTGACTTCTGGGGCCCTAGGCAAGCCACATCCATTCTAGAGGGATGTCATTGACTTGTGAATCACATGTTCACCCCCCCTCCCAACATCCCCCACTGACTTTCCAGAACTATTTTACATGAAATGAACTAGGTAACATTCCTGCCATAGAAGGGAGGTGTTCACCTATGCCTCTGCCCTATGTTTGACCCCCTGTCTGTCTCCTTTGTACCTTATCATCTGGCTGTCTTCACAAAGATTCAACTCTGCCTATTTTCCTACAGCATCCGGTCCCTGGAGTTCTGGTTTAATCACCTCTATAACCATGAAGGTAATGCCCGGAACACTACTCTCTCTTGCAAACTCAATATAGGCCAGATCTCAGAGGCTCAGAAGAGGGAGACATGGCTCTTTACAGATGATGGAGGTGGGGAGGGAGACCACCCAAGCGATCATCTTCAGAGCCTGGACTTCCAGCCCAGTCTCTCCCCAGCTTCTACTTGTGTTAGAGCCTTGGAGTCAGCAGGATACTCAGAAAATCTGGAGGTCAGGGTAGCCAGGAACCCCCACACCTCTCCTGTGAACTTGAGGCCGCCACTTAGGGTTGTAGAGGTCACGACCTGCACCAACTTCAGATGGCCTCTTTTGCGCTGGTGTCCACCAAAGCCACAGTGCCTAGCCTGTGCAGCAGTATGCAGCAGCTCTGCCAGGGCCGCTTCTTGGAGGCACCACCCCGCCAGGCCAGGCTCTCCTTCTCTGTGGGGCTCAGGCTCTCTCTTGCTCCCCTAGATATCATCCAGACCCACTACCAACCATGGGGCTTCCTGAGTGCAGCGCATACCGTGTGCCCCGGCCTCTTCGAGGAACTGCTGCTGCTACTGCAGCCCCTGGCCCTGCTGCCCTTCAGCCTCGACTTGCTATTCCAGCACCGGCTCCTGCAAAGTGGGCAGCAGCAGCGGCAACACAAGGAGCTGCTGCGGGTGTCCCAGGATCTGCTGCTGTCCGCGCACTCGACATTGCAGTTGGCCCGGGCCAGGGGCCAGGAGGGGCCTGGAGACATGGACAGGGCAGTCCATGGGGAGCGGGTGAAGGGTGTGGGTGCCCCTGAAGGTGGAGAAGATGAGGAGGAAGAGGAGACAGAAGAGGTGGCAGAGGCAGCTGGGGGCTCAGGGCGTGGCAGGTGGGCCCGAGGCGGGCAGGCTGGCTGGTGGTACCAGCTCATGCAGAGTTCCCAGGTCTACATAGATGGCTCAGCTGAGGGCTCTAGGTTCCCCCGTGGTGGCAGCAATAACAGCAGTGAGAAAAAGAAAGGGGCCGGAGGCGGAGGACCACCCCCCCGAGAGGGAGTAGTTGAGGGGGCAGAGGCCTGCCCTGCTCCTGAGGAGACCCTTGGCCGGGACAGGGGCTGGCCCTTCTGGATGGGAAGCCCCCCCGATTCTGTGCTGGCTGAGCTGAGGCGTAGCCGGGAGAGGGAGGGGTCCACTGTCCCCCCAGCAGAAAATGAGGAAGGAGCCTCAGAGCCTTCACCTGGGGGCATCAAGTGGGGACATCTCTTTGGCTCCCGAAAGGCTCAGCGGGAGACCCGGCCCACAAACAGGTGAGAGGCAACCCAAGGTGTAGATGGAGGAATTTGGGGAGCCTATCTAAGCCAAAGCACAGATAGAGCCAGAGCCCTGGTTGCTCTCCCCTAGGCTACCGTCTGACTGGCTGAGCCTGGACAAGTCCATGTTCCAACTAGTGGCACAGACAGTGGGTGCCCGCCGAGAGCCAGAGCCCAAGGAGAGCCTGCAGGAGCCACACTCCCCAGTCTTGCCCTCCAAGCCTCCATGGTAAGCCCTGGAAGATAGGATTGGGGGGCTGGGTTTGGCTTTGGGTGGGGTTTCTCTGACCTCCATTTGTTGTTTCCCCAGCGAGGTGAAGGCACTGTGCCATCATCTGGCTACAGGCCCTGGACAGCTGAGCTTCCACAAGGGAGATATCCTACGGGTGCTGGGGCCAGCTGGAGGAGACTGGCTGCGCTGCAGCCGTGGCCCCGACACCGGCCTGGTGCCTCTGGCCTATGTGACCTTGACCCCAACTCCAAGTCCAACCCCCGGAAGCAGCCAAAACTGAGGCCCTGTGCATGCTGGTGGCCTCAGGGACCCTCATAACCCCTGACTCAGAGCCTGAGAGCCCTTCCCAAGCCCTCTGGCTTGGCCACAGAGAGTAGACTGAGAGCTGGGGGCCATACATCCCTGTGCTCAGTATTAATTACTCCCCATTAACTGTCCCAGTGACCTCATCCAGACCTCCACCCAGGAAAGGAGGGAAGGGATGCAACACTGGGATGCCAGGATTTCCCCAGCCCATCTGGGCCAGCCCTGCCATAGGTACAGATAAGCACGTCCCTGTGGAGGGAGGTGACCAGAGGCCCATTTGCAGGGTTCCCTAGGCCAGGTAGTGAGGAGGAGAAGTGACAGTATTGGGGCCAGCTCCCTAAGTCCCCAAATGTAAATAAGCTGTGGCCAGTGCCTGGTGGTCAGAAGAGGGAGGAGGAGCCCAGGCTTCTGTTTATGTATTTATTTATTTATTTATTACACCTATTAATAAAAAAGGTGCTCGGCCTCCAAACCATTTCTCTTTGTGCCTCCCCTCACCCTCGGGCCCACTTCTCTTCCTTCCAAAAGGATGACTGGAATAGGAAGACAGAGAAGAAAGACCTTGAAGTCCAGGTACCTACACCAGGAGCTGCTTCTGGAGGGTGGTGAGGCCCAGTGCATCATGGGTGAGATGCCCATATGTGTGCCCGAACTGGAACTTATACCCTGTATGGACAAGAGAGTCACATCACTTGTAGCCAGTGGCATGGAGAGTCATTTATTTCTCAACCAGTTTCTAAGCCCTCTAAAATCCAGTCACAACTTCTCACTGTGAGCTATCTCCATTTCCTTTTTTGCCCAGTGAGAAAGCTAAAGTACATGATCCAAAGACCTTCCCCCCATATCTATTCCAACCCTCCCAAGCCACTTCCACCCATTCCACACACACACACACACACACACACACACACACACACACACACACACACAAAACACACAAATAGTCCAGTCCCCTCTGGGGCTATCCTTACCTGGCACATAGCCCCCATAATTAGGTAAAAGGCCCAGGTTCTGAGGGTAGGTCCTAGAAAGTGGAGGGAGAGGTTTGGGATCCTTCTGGGGTCTGCCCCCTGAATATATCTGTCCAAATTCCTGCAGTGCCCGGTTGGTGAGGACAGGAAAGCTGGAGCCGAAGAGGAAGCGGGCACGGGGCACATAACCAGTGAAGCCTGGGGGGTGAGGATACTGAGTCAGGACCCTTTGGGGGCCTCCCCATGCCTTTAGTCATTACCCACTTCCTCTCACCTGGCATGAAGAACTTGCGAGGATCTTTGTCATCCATGGAATAGGGGGAAGCCTTGGGAGGAGAAGTCAGAGAAAAAATAAAGCTATCCAGTTCAGCCCTCATGCTCCAACAGAAGCTCCCTGGGAGGTGGAGCTGGCGGTTGAGTCCACATTCCCGGTACCCATAGCCATGCTACTGGTGGCCACCCTTAGGCCCAGCCTCACAAGAGGTCAGGCTCCCCACTCCTAAGTCCCTGGACCCCCTCTACCCTTCTTGGTCTCACTTGTTCCACCTCTTGCTGCAGCTCTGGCTCCTTCTCTGCCTCCAGCTCTGACTCCGGCTTTGGCTCTTGGTCTTTCTCGGTGTCTTTTTTACCCTTGGCCTCCTTTGGCAGCTCTTGACTGCCTTGTCCCCCAGACCACTGAGTGAAATCATTTAGAGCCTCAGCCCAGACCCTGCTGCAGTTCTTGGCAAAGATGAACTGTGCCTGGGGCACAAAACCTGGGAGGAAGGGGGCAAGGAAGATTTTGATTAGTGTTTGGGGCACACATTCTGGGTTTGGGACATCTGTTCAGACTATCCATACATACCTGTGTACCCAGGGATCATGCTGGAGCTGAGCCTTTCATGCCCACGCCTGACAGGCAGGCTTCGCCTGGGAACCTCAGGAGATGCTGGAGGCCGGATGGGAGGCAGAAGTGTGCGATGGGCAGGGGGCCAGGCTAGGCCAGGAGATCCTCGAAGTAGCTGACCGGTCATCTGCCCATAGGTCTGGCCCATGCTGAACCGAAGTAGTGGGCAGTGTCCAGTGTACCTGTAGCATAGGACTCACCTGCTCGCCTCTACACTTCCCCCTGCTCCACCACCCCCAGATATACAAACAGAGACCTCTGAAGCCCTGATTTTTTTTTTTTTTCTGGATTCAGTTCTATGTTTGTTTGAAGCAGGCATTTCTCCATCCTCTCTGGGTTTTCAACCCTTCCCCTCTGCTGTTACCCTGTTACCATGGAGAAGACAACACAGAGCTTCGTGCCGGGCCCAGCTACCACTATCCCCTTGCTCTTCCTTTTCCATCCAGCACCGTAAATATCTCAGCCCTGGGCCTACCATACCAGTTTGTCTGCTGGCCCCCAAGGTCTAGGTGGCACAGCTCCTTTGTCCTTACATCCCTATTCCCAGAAGCAAACAGGGGTGTGATTTTAGGTAGAAGTCTTACCCTGGGATATAATGAGGGTTCTTAGGGTTCAGCCCTGGTATGAAGGTGCTGGTCATAGCCATGAGAATCCAGCTTTTGTTTCCCTTGGAGCTGAAGCTCCAGGCTGTGTGTACTGTGTCCAGGGCTGTGGGGCGGGGTCAGAGGCAGGAGGCGGTGCCAAGGGAGGAGAGAGGGGAGAGACACTAGTGAGGACTGCCAGGGCCAAGGCTAGCAGAACAGGAGAGCCGGGGCGCACTGGTTTGTCTACTCCAGAATAAATGCAGCCTATCACGTGGGGGTAGGGGAAAGTCTGAGTGTTGCCTCCCCGTTCCAGGTGGGAGATGAGAGAACAAACACTGTTAGGTCCTTTCAGCTCTATCTTAAAGAGGGCCTTTCCTTCTTAAACCCCCTGCCTGAAGACACGTGAGTGCTACTCTTTGTTGAGTGTTGATTGAAAGTGATGGAATTCCTGGGAAAGGAGGGTCTCTGAGGGGATCCCAGAGGGGAGGTGACAGGGAGAAAAAGGAACCTAGAGACCTCTAAGCAATGACATTAAGTTGCTTTTCAATCGTTTTACTTTGACAGTTATTGAATACCCACCATCATCTGGATTATCATTTAACAAATACCATTATGCCCTGCTAGGCATATTTTGTAGTCAGAAAAGCCAAGCTCCACATGACTTCCAGCAAGTCATTTCCTATCTCTGCACCTCTTACAAAATGCAGATACCAGGACTTACCCTGCTACTGTTGTGAGGCTCAAATATATACAAATGTGTTTTGTACCAGCAAAGATCATGTAGTCTTTGTAGGATGGAGTTCATGTAGGATGGAGAGGAAAGACCATGGGCTTGAGGTCATGCTATCAAGCTCCTACTAGCTTGTGGCCTCAAGCCAACCTTACCTCATCTGACCAAGCGACATAACTTCTGCTGAATGTGAATTCCCTAAACCCAAAGTGAAGGTTAAAATAACCTAACTTAACCAGGATGCTGTTAAGGATAAAGTCAGTGTGGGAAAGAATTAACCCCAGCACCTGGCACTCAGTTATTAAAAGTTAACTTTCTTCTCTATTGTCTAATATTTTCTCTAAGTTTCTAAGACACATGGGAGACCTGTGACTGGTTAGTAAATTCAGTGGATAAGGGTTTTTCTACTGTGGGAGTTTAAGGAAAGGAAATATGATGGTAATGTTGGGTTTTAAGACTGGTGACAAATTAGAATTTGTTAAGAAACCAATTCAGGGGCACCTGGGTGGCTCAGTAGGCTAAAGCCTCTGTCTTCAGCTCAGGTCAAGATCCCAGTGTCCTGGGATTGAGCCCCACATCGGGCTCTTTGCTCAGCAGGGAGCCTGCTTCCCTTCCTCTTTCTGCCTGCTTCTGCCTACTTGTGATCTCTGTCTGTCAGATAAATTTAAAAAAAAAAAAAATTCAGAGGGTGCCCGGATGGCTCAGTTGGTAGGACATGCAACTCTTGATCTCAGGGTTGTGAGTTCAAGCCCCACACTGGCTGCAGAACTTACTTAAAAAAGAAAGGGAAAAGGAAGAGAGGAAGGAAGGAAGGAAGGAAGGAAGGAAAAGAACAGGGGAAAGAGAGAAAAGAAGGGAAGGAAGGGAAGGAGGGAGGGAGGGAGGGAGGGAGAGGAAGGAAGGAAGGAAGGAAGGAAGGAAGGAAGGAAAAAGAATAAATATCCTAAGAGCAGAGAAGTATGGACCAGAAAAGAGCTCTCAGAGAGGGGGGAACATGCCTGGAACTCAGCTCTGGGGCTGAGTCAGGGTCAAGCCAGTCTACCTTTCCAGGAGGTAGAGCCCCTGTTGTTCTCCCCACCCAAGTGTGACACGCCCAGTCTGACCAAGCATGGGTCACTGACCTGTGGATTCCACAGGAACACCAGCCCCAAGGAATATATTTCATGTTCCTCACTGTTCTGTCAAGGACAGCCTTGGTATGTGTCATTTAGAGCTATGGTTGTAGACTTGGCTCACTGTTAAGGAAATATGCTGGATGGGGATGGGAACTGCGGGGAGAACCCAGAAAAGCAGCAGTGTGGCAAGGTTAACAACCTGAACTTAAAAAACACACACACAAAACACAACCTGGACCTTTGGATTCTATAACAGACACTGCTGGTTGCACACTGAATACCCATTCTCTACCCCCATCTCCCTTCTTCCTAACAGAACTTTAATTTTATTCTGTGGAGCAGCCAGGTGGTTCAAAGAAGCTTGAAGCCAGCCCTGGGAATGAGTCTTGATTAGTTTTAAGCCCTTGATTCTGGTCCTATTCCCCTTGCCAGTGATTCGTGAGCACGGGTTTATGGCATTCTGGACAATAAAAAATCTGCCAGGATAAGAGAGAGTCATAAGAAAAATAAGCAACTTAAAATGCTCTTTTAAAAAAAAAAGCATGACAGGGACGCCTGCGTGGCTCAGTCAGTGAAGTGTATGACTCTTGATTTCAGCCCAGATCACGAGCTCAGGGTCAAGAGATCAAGGAAGGATCCCATGCTCAGCAGAGAGTCTGCTTAAGATTCTCTCTCCCTGAAAAAAAAAAAAAAAAGATTCTCTCTCCCTCTCCTCCTGCCCCTCACCCCCCTGAAATAAATAAATCTTTTTTTTTTAATGCATGACAAATTAGAGAGAGAGATGGACAAGGAGGAATGGTGTCCCTCCCTGCCTCTAGAATTTCTACAAACATGACAGAACTTCAGTAGACATTCTGAAACCTTGTGGGAAGCTAGATTAACCTGGGAACAAAGCCTAATACAGCAAGGATGGGTGGGAGAATAGAAAGGCCTAGGTCCTTGACGAGCTACTGAACTAACCAACCTTTTTATATGAAATAACTTCATTATTGTTAAAGCCAATTTAAGTTTTCTTTTACTTGGACAAGGCATCATAACATAAAAATAAAAACAACAAAAAGTAGTTCAAATCCTAGCTTTCTTGGACATGTGGACCTTGTCCAAATTCATCTTAACAAGCCTCAGTCTCTTATCTGTAAAATGAAGACACTAATGTTACTACTTCATTGAATAGGACAAA